GCATGAATTTTTCGAAAGAGTGCCTTTTAAAATCCAGAATCTTTCCAAATTGACATAAGATTATATCCAAATCTACTATCATTGGTGGTGGTAAACATGCCAAGCAGCTTTTGGATAGGGGATGGAATAGGCCAGGCTAAATTAAGTGTGTCTAAAGAGTGGTCATCTGTGAGCAGATCTGAATGGTTCTGATTGGCCGAAGGTTTGGAAGTCATGGGCATATTGGCAGGCACAGTCCTTCATTCAGTTAGGACTACATACACAATAGGAAGCTGTAGCGGAATGCAAAAAGGTGACGTCATTCCTGCCTGTCCATCACAGCAGCTAAGTGGGAGGAGCCTAGGATAGAGCAGGAGGGGGCGGAGTTAGAATGACAGTTAGAAGGAGTTGAAAGTCAGTTAGAGATAGTTGGAGTTAGGGAGAGGCGTTAGGACTACATACACAATAGGAAGCAAAAAGGTGACGTCATTCCTGCCTGTCCATCACAGCAACTAAGTGGGAGGAGCCTAGGATAGAGCAGGAGGGGGCGGAGTTAGAATGACAGTTAGAAGGAGTTGAAAGTCAGTTAGAGATAGTTGGAGTTAGGGAGAGGTAGAAAGAGTCAGGGACCTGAAGATGTACAGAGAGTTGTTAGGGTTTAGGAAGAGGTTAAAGAGGTTTAGGACAGAATATTGAAAGTAAAACACATGTAACAAGCAGGAATGAACGCATAAGCATAAGAAGGTTGATAGTATAGTGATTGACTACATGATCTTAAAAGTATTAACACCTGATCCAATTCACATATGATTTCCTGTTGAAGAATAATAAAAGAATACTTAATCAATCATAAACCCTGCTTCCTAAAGTATATGACCTTTTTGGGGTGGCAGTTCCTGTGTGGGACTTGAAGTGGTATTAAGAGAACACCTGGTGGCAGCAAAAAGGGTGTGTTTACCTGTGTGGAGCCCAAGGAAATAGGGGCCACAAAGGGGTGATCGCCACAGAAGCTTCCACACATGTATGTACATCGCTGGATTAAGGCAGAGGAGCACATGGCATTCCTATTGCGGCAGTGTACTCTGAGCAGGAGGGAGCAGCAGCCTTGCTTAATGCTGGCCATATATTTTTATTTTCAAAAAGATACAGGAGATCTTCCGAGCTTTAGCTGAGATTTACAAACAAATATAGATCTATATAAAATAAAACTTTAAAAAATATTCACAGAATGGCACAGGCATCAAAAGGCAAGAGTAAAATTATATATCATTGTATACCCAATGATATCCTACACAAAATTGCTATCACAACTGACACACAATATGGAAATAAAATAAATTCTTTTTTCCAGAAAGGGGGGGAGGCAATTCCCCTCAAAAAGAAGTCAAATTTGAGGAAAGAAATCTGGATTCCTTCCAACTGCTGTACAGATACAGTCCTTATGACTCAAAAAGGCCACAAATCCAGTAAGTGTAGAGCATCTTACAGATTCCTCTCTCCACCCCAAAATTTGCATAATTGCTGTTTGTAAAAAGAGCAGTTTCTTAAATATCATTCCATGAGCATGAACAATTGTTAGTTCTCTTTCTGCACTTTAGTCCGTAGCTTATACAGTTCCTCTTCTAAGCTTCTGATATGTTCTTTGAGGGCAGCTTTATCTTCTTGGGCCTTCTGGTCAGCTTGCCTCCGAGCTTCTTCAATCTTCCTTTCATACCACTTCTCCATCTGACTTGACACAGCCTCGAAAAAGTATTGTGTGATTTCCAGCGCTTGAGACGTACCCACCAGCTGAGGGTTGGGCTCATTGCCTCCAGAGACAGGAGGCGGCTGTGGCTGTGTAGGGGGCATTCCTCCATGTTGGTGGAGTCTGTGCTTCAATTGGCCATTTCTGCTTGCTTTCTTCGTTTGAGTCCCTTTGTCTATCAAGGAGCCAGCTTGTTGCAACTCAGTCTTTGCCAATTCAGCAGAAGCCTGTAGAACAGTTTGAACTTTAACATGCCTTAATCTGGAACCTGAGTATTCAGCTGATGGCAGTTCTTGTTGCAGTCTGTTGAGACTTGTTTTGTCTTTAGGTCGAACAACTTGAGGGGATGCTCCAGGAGGAACTGGATCAACACCAACTATCTGTTTCTCCGTTCCTGTTAGCAAGAACACATGAATAACAATCATGCATTTTACACAGAGTAATCTGGGGGAAAAATACAAATAAACAGTTGAGGAAGGACAGCATGTGTGTCACACCTGCAAAGTGATCATTAGATGGATTCAACATGAAAGCCTTAGTCAGGTGTCCACCTGATTGCTCACAAGGATAAAACTGGCAGTGGTGTCGGGAGTATCCACATAAGCCCCACACCCAATGATTTATGGAAGGACATTATATCTTTCTGTGTTAAACATCAAGGTTTGAAGAAGGCTATGTAACCATGTCTGATTCAATGCAATGACAGAGCTCGCATAACAAGAACCCAGTTGAGTGCAGGTTCTTCATCGTGGGAGCTCTGTACCCACTTTCAGCCAAAAGAAGACAGAGAATCCTCTTTGCACCTCTGCCTCATAAGATAAAGCAAAAAAGCAAAGTGTGCAGCTAATCCTCTTTGCACCTCTGTCTCATAACATAAAGCAAAAAAGCAAAGTGTGCAGCTTATATACTACCTCATAGTGCTTCAAGCATTCTCTGGGCAGTTTACAAGTTAATTATGCAGGCTACACATTGCCCCCCCAGCGAGCTCAAAGTTTACCTGGGATTGAACCCTGGGTCATGAGCACAGTTTTGGCCGCAGTACAGCAGTTCAACCACTGCGCCACGAGGCTCAGTAAGGTCTTACATACTGCTGAATGTGTGGAGATGTTTGCGGTAGTGCTATCTGGCATGCTCACATCCCCAGCTCAAGCCCTAAAGCTAAATAAGATGAGGCAAATTATCTGAGAAGTGCTCAGATAAAGACCTCCATGTTTAGTTAAGCTAGAACAAATAGAACATCTTTATCAATTGGCATATTATACGTCTCAGCTGGGTAAGTTCACAGATTCCATTCTCAGTCATCAAGCACTTAGCAATCAAGGAGAAAGAAGCTGGGGGATGTAAATTTTGTGCCTAGACCATCCCACAATGGTTTATTTAAACAGCAAGATACATATACCCAAATGGCAAATTGGAACCAGTGCTTGATTAGGCTAGCACTGCGGGAGTTACCAACACTAGAAGAATAAAAGCAATGTATTATAATAGGTTAGTTTATTTGCCTCTAATAAGGTGGATATAGATTTTGTCCACTAGATCTGTTTAATACAGTTATTCCTCAAATACTGGCTTCTGTTGAATATACCTACTGAATATGCCTCCAGAAGCCCTGCCAGTGAAGCAGGGAAAGGTTCTAGGAACCTTCTTGGTGGTGGCATCTGGACCACAGAACAGACTCCTTATCTGCCCTCTTTCCCAAGGATTAACAGGCATCTTAAGAATTTTCTTCCTCTTCTTGAGGACCTCTTTATTCACTCAGGCCTATTAAACAATTTGCATTACTGTAGACTTCCTTTTAAAAAATTATTTTTACAATTATTTATTTTTAAATACTCAAACATACCTGAACATTTTATTTTGTTCTCACTTCTGGAAGCTACACAAAGAAAATACCGTATTTTTCACTCCATAAGACGCACCTTTCCACAAGACGCACCAATTTTTTAGGAGAAGAAAACAGGAAAAAATAATTTGTTTTCTTCTCCTAAAAATTGGTGAGCCTTATGGAGAGGTCC